TGTTAAATAGTTGTTACATTTTCTCATTTCTGTTTTCAGCCTTGAGCCAGGCTGTTACCTTAAATGAATGAAATGTCCGGCAGCACAGTGTGTGTGTGTACTCAACCTCTGGTATGATCCACTCTGTGGCATTTTCAACTAAGAAATGAATAATTTAGTGTGCTCCTGGAATTATTTTTTTGGCTGCATTGTGTCTGCTGCTGCTGAAGAACGGCTGAGAGTCAATACTCCAGAGAAATCACAAGTTGCCATAACTACAAGTGCTGAGGTCTTTGTGCAGTGCAGAGCGCAGCCCTGGAGAGGTGGGCAGTAAGCCGAGCATGAGAGCAGTCTGAGAGCTCTGGAAGACCACATCTAGCAGAAGCCCATCGCCTGAAGCGCTCCTCAGCCAGAGTTGTTTCTCTGCACAGTTTGTTCATGTGGGCAGAAGATGAAACTGAATACCTGATGGGTTTATCAAATGAAGAAAAGAAATCCATCAATTATTCACTTAATGTCAGTCTGGGACAGATAATGAAGGAAAGACCCTTATAAATGCTTTTAATTCTCTTCAATTTCAGATGCTCTTTTTCAGGTTAACAAAAAGCCAGTGGTTTACAGGCTCATACTTAAACTAAATTAAAAGATAAAGCACACAAGGCTTGTATGTGCAAGTGTGGTTATGCCCACTCTCTGATGGACAGCCCGAACTCCTACTGTTGTTGTTGTTCTAGTCCCCTTGAGGCTCTTTTTTTGTTTGCTCTCTCTCTTGTTTATCCCAGTGATGTCTTTTCCATCCCTTGCTACATGGATCACCATGGCTTAATGCTGTGTTGTTGTTGGATCACTTCACACCTTTGAGGTATTTCACTAGCTTCTTGCTGACGGCCTGTGTGCCAGTCGCTCCTTTGAGACCACCTGTATCCTGTCCCTCACAGATGTGCAGGTGTGGGTCCAACAGCAATGACTTTTAAAAATAATTTAGAATTCATGTTTTTCTTGAGTTTGACTTGGGTTAGCAGTTAGTAAAGCCATACATATTTGTGTAATGTTTCAAGTTGAGCAGTGCTGTGTTTGTGTTTGTTTGAACCTCTTTTACTGCATGTACGTGTGGTGATTCTTATCTATAGTATACCATCTGAGTCAATCCCTGGGCTCCCATGTCTGTATATTGCCTCTGTCTTTCTCCTCTATGCCCTTGACTGCTGTGAGTTCAGTCTGCTTCTGAAAAGAAACATGAGCTTGTGATCAGTCCTGCAGTCCTGTCGTTTTTATTTATTTATTATTTTTAAATCTTGCCTTCAGTGAATGATTCCTGAAATTTGTAGGACCATTTGTATCCAGGCAAACCATGTCAAAAACACGGTTGTGTCGAAATATATTCCATTGATTATGCGTATACATGCACATACATTTCTTCAAATTAATGCATTTAGAGGAATACATTGACCTTTTGCTAAAGAATCTTTTAATGCATGCAAACACCGGAAGACACTTTACTGTGTGATGCAGTTTTACCTCATTCTTAACAGCACTGTGCTGAAGAAACTACTGAGCATGGAGTTTGTAATGTGGCGGACAATTTTATTGCACATCAGTGAGTTGAGCTCATTTGTTAAAGAAACAAATTAAAGAAGTAGAACTCAACAGTGCATTGAATTAAATGGCAAGGCACTGAAACTGAAGACACCATTGTGGTGCTTTTATGCCCAAGGTGTTTGATGTCTTCAACATGTTTTAGTTGTTAATTTAAGTGCACCTCTTTCTCCAAAAATATTTAATTTTTTTAAATAGATGACAGAGGGAATTAGTAGATTTAGCATATTAGTGGAGCCATATCTGAAAAATCCACTCTGATCCATTTGTTACAACATACATTTCAGACTTAACAGATGTGTTGTTGAGTATACATCCTTATGCCGGGTGTAATGTGAGTTATAATAACTAAGCTGGAGGGCTAGATGCTAGATAATGGACTGCAACAGTGAAAGGTCTCCATAATGACTGATGAGAACTCAGGGCATTGTTGTTAAGAGCGTGGACGTGGAGATACAGCTGCATCACATTTACAGAATGCGTTGGCACAGACACACATAGATAATCATGGATCCTTTCAATAAATATTCATATGAAATTGGCTCTCAGATAAAGGCAGTGCACTTGGTACAACAAACCACTTCTGCCTACAGTCCATGCAGTATATTTCTTTGACTTCCTCCTTCGCCAAACCATCACAAGCAGTTACTCCAAGACGGACATTTATATACTCCCTCGTTCGTTATATTGATCCATGCTTACACAAGCATTAGCACTCACTTAGAATGAGAGGCGTGTCTTCACCCAAATACAGGAACATGCAGCATAAACGTATCCTTACAAATGCACACACACATGCACGCATTTCTCATGCCACTAAGTAGAACATACCACCACACACTAACACACAAACTTCTCAAGATAAAACCATGCGCGTCTACTTTAGGCTGGCAGATTCTCCCAAATTGAATCGGAGCATGTAGCAGCTGATGTATTCATCTAGTGTGTGATTTAATGAGGGCTGCTCCAGCTCATCATAAATCATATTAATAATCTGAGCCTCCCATTGATTTTTATTTTTTTAACACATCCCAGTGCATTATTTGATATCTCCAGCCTTTGTTTCTGATTTAATGAAGCCCCTCCCACACACACGCAGGCACACAGACAACTCATGAAACTGCTTTTCCTTTTAGAAGTCTTTATTCATCTGTGTAGAAAAAAAGACGACCAATAAAAGGAACAGCGTTTTGCACCCATTTTTATGTTTATACATGAGTGTTTTCATTATCACATCTGAGGGTGACATTTTTAAAGGAAAAGGATTTCTACACAGAATAAAAGGAAGCTTCAGTGCTCTTAAAAAATAGAAATAAACAAATGCAGACATGAAAAACAAAAAAACCCACACCGGAGCTCTTTCATTATTACTGGTGTACAGTAAGACAGGCTGGAAAAGAGAAAGAGAGCTACTCAAAATAAGAATGGGTTTCAACACTTACAGGCTCTATCTAAATCACTCTTCCCCATCCTCCCCGCTACAGCCTCACTCTTTATTTGTCTTGCTCTACCCTCTCCTCTTCCTCTTTTAATCTCTGGCTGTTTGTTAGCTTTTTCATTGAAGTTCCTCCTCTTTTAACATGTATTAGTGGTGGTCAGTGGGAGGCAGTCAGAAAGGTGGCGCTGCCTGGTTGGTGTGAGTGTTTGTGTTGAACTGCACAGTGAAGCGGTCAGGCTGTGGTCCCTGTTAACAGAACTGGGTCTCTGCTATGCTAAGGCCTTTAAAACTGGACAACCTGAGTCAACTAATGTACTTTATCTCCCAGAATGCATCAGATCAGTGCTGAAATTTCAGTTGGTTTACCTTAAGTTTTACATTTAATTTGGCTTCAACTTACAGTGCCATCTTGTAGGGTGGGGCTGCAACAATCGAGTGTTTACAGTATTGATTAATCTGCCAATTTCCTTTTTATTTCTAGAAGAATCTTTAGGTCTATAAAGTGACAGAAATTTGTGAAAAACCTCATAGTTTCCTGCCAAGAGTAGTGCCTTTAAATTTCATCCAAATAACAGGCAAAAAAATTCTCTTTACTATCACATAAGACTAATAAAAGCAAATACTGCCGATTGGGAAGCACCTCCTCAAATTTGTGAACCGTCATATATTTTACTGTTCTCTCATTTTATTAGGCCATTGTGTTACAAATAAATAAGCACAACTACTTTACAGTGACAGTGGAGTTTCGTATGATTTTGCATCAATGTGTTGGACTGTAATTTGTCAGGTGTTTAATTTACTGGATTATCCAAAAGCATTGCATTCCTGTCTGGTAATTGGATCTATAATCAATTTTCCATTCAATATATCCCAATATACTGTATATAACATTTCACAATATAAAATTACATATACTGTGACAGATAAATTTACCCATGTTGACCACTAATACCCTCTTGTATTATGAACTTTCCCATCATTTACCAATAACAGTTACAACTTATTTTAATGAGCGCATTTTAGCAAAAAGTAATTGGGCCAGGATAGTTCTGACTTCCACCAAAAATGATTTTTCATTAAAATAATTTTAACCAGCTGCTGGAAGATAATGGGTTACTATTAAAAGATGTATGATTAGGGTTCTGTCTGTTCATTTTCACAAGTAATTTAATAATAAGACCAGACCACAATAGAAAGTGGGTACATGCAGGAATATTTTTTGTCTTCGCGATCATTATACTTTTCTAGGTTTTTCTTAGATTGTCTTGCAGTGCTTCTCTTTTTGTCCTACTAACATTTCTGAAATTATGATATATGGCATGTAAATGAGATTAAGGAAGCTACATGATACATAATGAGGAAGGTAACTACCAAAAAGTATTGTATATTGAGTCTTTGAGTTGCAGTCATCACAGGCAACTGCCTTTGAAGGAAGTGTGTAGTCTGTTATCTCTCAGGTATCTGCAGAGCGCAGTAGTGGATACACTGTGGGTAAAACTTGAGCTGCTTTTTGGATGAGGATGTCACGTTTTTACAGTTGTCAACCCTCTTGTCTACCCTGCCTGCACCCTTCACGATCCCTCGTCTTCGTTTCCTTTTGGCTGCTTTTTTACCTCCTGTCACTGCATTTGTCACACCCCCTCATCTTATGTTTTTCTTTCCTTTCCTGTTCTTGCTCCTTTCCTTAAGCCAGCACACCTCTCTCAGCATCTCCATCCTCAAAACACCACCCCTCTT